GAAGGTTTAGGAAATGTAAGTTAATTCTTCGGCATGTGACGCCATGAAATACATATTAAGTAGAGGAGAAAAATGTGGTTTTAAATTTCGTACGATTTGAATGTGATCATAGAAGAACAGAAATGTTTTTTAAAAAGTTAATAAAGTAGTATATGTACACATGCCATATTGTTTGTCTCCCTTTTTACATGCATAATTTGTGCAATACGAGAATGTTATGATCAAAAGTAAAACATTCTATCACTTTCATAAATTTTCTTCAAAGTAAAATTTGATTATAAGTATGAACAACTAAAGGCAAACGTTTACTGCGCTTTAATGTTTACGAATATGTAACTGATAAAACAATGTCACATGTCGATGAACTAACTTACATTTCCTAAACCTTCCTTCAACTCAAGCTACTTACAGTCAGTGTACTATTATTTACTTTGTGATTATCGTTCAGTTATCTAGGAAAATTCAATAGTACATCAGTGCGACGAAATGTCGTCCGATAAAGTCCTTGGGATGAAAAATCTTTCGATGAAAAGTCGTTCGATCATTTGTCGTTACCCCATGATTCAGAGACAATATACCGTGTGTCACAGACGCTTTGCAACAACTTACGAGGGAACGTTCTTAAGTGCCCCCTCGCTTTTTCAACGAAACCTAGTGGGTTATAGGTTATCGATGATGCTGGTTCCGAATATGAATATGAAAGCTGTTCTTAGGGTTTCGAAGACCCGATTTTCTGGGAAACCATATATGACTCTTGAAGACCTGGTTTTCTGGAAAAACAGTTTTTCAGAAACTCTGAAAAACAACCAAAGCTTTTCTTAATGAGCCATGCTTGTAGCCCGCACATTTCGGATTAAAATAAGACCTCTTCCAACTCTACATGACCTTTCTTTGCAAAGTTATAGAATTTACAAGAAAAGCCCTAAATTAATTTCTTCTTATTTCTGTAGCTTTGAGTTGACAATGAATATTTAGGACTTTTCTTGTAAATTCTATAACTTTGCAGAGAAAGGTCATGCAGAGCTGGGAGAGGTCTCATTTTAATCAGAAATGTGCGGGCTACAAGCATAACTCATTAAAAAAAGCTTTGATTGTTTTTCAGAGTTTCTGAAAAACTGGTTTTCGAGAAAATCAGGTCTTTGAAGCTCTAAGGCAGCTCTCATATTCATATTTGGAATCAGCATCATCGATAACCTATAACCTACTAGATTTCGTTGAAACCAAAAATATTATCAAATTTTAATTTTTTTAAAAAGATGCACCATTTAATTCTCTACAAAAAACAAATTGGATATTTTTCTATGTATCTTAAGAATACGAGAATGTGGTGGAAATAGTATGAATTTGCAATCTCGAGTACTTCTTAGCCCAAAAAACAAATTTATTTTGAGTAGATTGCCATACATTAAAGTGGACTAAAATATATGTTCTACTTCTCGTGAGTACCGTCTTTCTTCGTATATCATAGGTTGGCTTTAAAGGTGTTTTTCTTGCACAAAAAGCGAGTTTACCAAAACTCATCGTGAACACGTTTTCGTCTTAGCACAGTAGAAATAACGGAACTATTGAACTTTTTCTCTTCGGATGTAAAAGCAGAGCTAGTGCATACAGTACATACAGATTTTCGAGCGCTACAAAATGGCTATCTTCTCTTTGCGTATATAGCAAAATGGAAGAATCTAAATGAAAAAACTGTTTTTTTCCAGCTGGTAAGTACTCGAGATTGCAAATTCATACTATTTCCTCCACATTCTCGTATTCTTAAGGTACACAGAAAAATATCCAATTTATTTTTTGTGGAGAATTAAATGGCGTATCTTTTTAAAAAGATTAAAATTTGATTATATTTTTGGAGTCAGATATATGCAAACAAAAACAACGAGCAATCATTTTGGGACATCCGGCACTTGCAGCTAAATGAAATTTTATATATTTCACGACTGCTATATTTAAGATGGATAAATGTACCTTTAATCTGAATGGAAGCGCGCCCTTCATAAATTTTTTTCTTGCTTGAGTAATTCCGCGTTTTTGCCGATTTTGACGACATGGGCAGTGCTATTCTAAATAATTGTTGCAAATTATTTTATTTCTGATTAGTATATTCTAAGTTTTGATTATATCTATCTTTTTATATTCATTATTCGGATATAGAAAATGATTAAGCCTTAAACACTAAAATGATCTTTTGAATTTGCTATTTGGAGCAAGTCAATTATTCAAAGCTGTTGGCTTAAACCATATGGTGTCCCGTACGCTCCAGGAACAGGCTGTTATGGAATGCTCCCAGGTACGGCATAATTTGAGCGTGCCGGTGTTACCACAGGACGACCTGATAAATTGACGTAAGGTCTGACGTAAGGTCTGATATAAGCAGGAGTGGTTGTTTGTATCGCTGGCCTGTAATTAGCTCGAGCAATTGATGGTTGTGGTAGCAAGGAACCTTGGCTAACCGAAGTATTTTGTAAAGGAGCATAGGGTAACTGATAACTAAAAATAAAAACAATAGGTGAGAACAGAACATGTAGTACACAACTATTCCTTTAACATAAAATTGGGTTTAATGTAGCCGTCTCTAGGGCACAAGCTCTGACTGTAAAAAATAGAGAGGGCATACAAATAATCCCGCTCTTCGAACAAAATGATCAAATATGTTCTTGCTTTGGTGCTTGGTATCCTCGAAGTCGTTGTGCAATGTATTGGGATAATAAGGCGGGTTGTGGTCTCACGTTGGCACCTACAAATAAGTAGAAAACTTACTGATGTTTTGCAATATATATGCTACTTCGACTAGCTCCTGCCTTTAGCTGAGATGTTTTGTAATTCAAAAGACTTTTTTTCACACAATATCTGATACTTGCCTGAATGCGTTATACCTACCATTGTTTAGAAAGGGCCCGCCCGCTACATATAATGGTCGGCCGTAGCCACCTGTTAAGAACGGTGCTCCAGCTCCTCTATACATTGCCAGATTATTTGTCCCATTTTGAGCTGGTTTTTGTATAACTCTTGGTCTGGCAATCGCTCTTGTACCGATGTTTCCATAGCCAGACTTTCGGTAGACAAAACCGGTTAATGCCCACAAAATACCTGCTAAAAATTCTAATATGATCGTGGGCACAATTAACCATAAGCCATATAGATGATTCCATTGGGCATCACCACGATTTTTTGATAAATTATTCGCCGACCTTGCGAATATTGGAAGTCCTAAAAATAGAAGTAGAAAAGACTTATTTTAAAAGAAATATATGACTAAAACCTACGCAAAATTCTCTATCTTTCAGCATCCAAACGAAAGTTTCTGATCAAGCTTAACCTGAGAAAAAGTCTTGCAAAGGTCGGCAATTTAATCTAGACCACCGGTTATTTATTATATTTTATCTTGTTCTACTTAATAAAACTGGTCATCCAGGTTCTCTAAACATTCTCAGATTATTTCGCGTAATATCAAGTGAAAGTGACCTGAAATAAAATCATCAACAACTTCAAATGTGTGCCCAATCAATAGACAAATATATTTTGAGAAGATGAAACTGAGCCTCATTGCACCATCCTGGTCCTATCTCCATTGTAAAACAGTTGTGTGTTAACGCACAATCAAAAATGTATGCAAGTGCGATTGTGTCCACATGTGCAAGAGTGTTAAAAAGTTGTGTGTCGTGTATAAGTGGGTTACAAATATGTGTCGACGCGTGCAACTATGTTTTAATGAGCAGTTTTTCATTCATCCTTTTGTTCTGCGTCTCTCACTCAATATAAAAATCAGTTAGTTACGTAAGACCATAGGTTTTTCTCCCACTAAAAATGCTCGTTACTGCATTAGATGTCGATTTTAGATGGTCACGTACTATGGTCGTCTAATACCAGATATTGTACTAACAGAGTTATAGAAAAAATGGAACATATCCGATGAACAATACTGAGAACTAATTAATACGTGTAGTGCGGCTAGAAATGTGCGTTAATATGCGATTGTGCGTCAATTTGTGTTGTGCGTTAACATGTATAAAATGGATACATCTACGCACAATCTGCTGGACTCGACTACGATCTATTCAATCCGTGTAGAGTGTCAAAAAATGTGTGTACAAAACTGTACATTTCGCACACAATTTCTTTTTCACTGTATGGAATATAAGAACAACTAAAAAGTTCAAACATTATCTCATTTACAAAATATGTGGCTACCATGCTCTAACTTATCTTAACATTCCAAGTAAAACTATTCATAATTCTCGGATTGAAACGTCAACACTATTAAAACATTTAGATCAAGATATAACCGTCAATTAAACGAGAATCAGAGAAATGTAACGATTACTAAGATTTAACATACCTATAACAAGAAAGAGAAAACTTAAAAAGGCTAAAATAGCTCCAGCGAAAATCAGTAATGGTAGCAATGCTGAGATAACTGCAGCAATTAATCCAAATGTTAACAATATCATTCCAGTTGTTACTAAACCATCCGCTGATCGAACAAATTGAGGACGACTACCATTAAATAATATTTTTTCAGCAGATGGCCATTTCTGACACACCTAAAGTAATAGTCAAGAATAAAAAATATGACAACAAATATGACAAGATCATTATAACGTAGTAGCTTACGGTATTATACAATGGTAACTGATTCTGACAATAAGCCCATAATCCATAAAACTCTCGTGTGCTACCATTGTATCGATGAGTGGATTCCCAATCTGGTACTCCAAAACCGACCCAACCTTTATTTCAAAATAATAATCAACTATTCAAATCATTTCGTCTAATAATGTGTCAATAAATTGTCAGTTTTAGCTACGTTTGAAATTTATTTATACTCTATTTCTGCAATCAGTCTTAGAAACAATTTTCGTTAGATTTTTTGAATGCTTCTGCCAAATCGTATTGTTTACATGCTGATATCGAATACACTAGTTGAATCGGTTTTACAAAAAATCCTATTTCATGTGGGCTCTTCGCTTAAATTTTTACAAAATTAGACCAAAATAAATTCTTAGACAAATCAGCAGGTAAGTTTCAAAATAAAGAGAAATTTAACTTTCAAATTAAGACAAATATTCTAGTAAAAAATATAGAAAGGGTTGGCAAGCCAGGCTTATATACTCTTATATACTTTCAGTACTATTAGCATTGATAGGCAATAATTTCTTGTGTATTTAGACTCTATTTACTTTACCAAGTATGAGTGCAATACTGGACAATATTATTCCTGACACAAGTAAAATTTTCCACAAATGTTGCTGATTCATTTTTATTGTCCGTATTAATATAACACATTCATCATTGTTATTAGTTTCCGGAAACCAATATTGCGAGGTTTATTACATATTTGGACGAATAATTGACAAAATAGTATTGAACGAAGGTTATTTGATACTTTGTTTTTGTTATTTATTACTATATTGTATGTAGTAATATTCAATTCACTATTACACATATAATGAAAGAAACGCATCTACAAACGTGTAAACCTGTTCGATAAATTATCGATATGCATCATTGCACGCAAAAAACAAAAAAAAAAAAAACAGTGCAATTTGATATCTGATATTAATAGACGCTGCGTCTATTAATATCAGCCGCGTATTCCTTTTGCTTCCGCTCTGGTTCTGGTAGAGTCGTATTTTTTTTGTTCTGTTATTGATTGTAATTATTAACAATGTCACATATTTTCTTTGCATATACTCAAGTATATATCCTTACTCGTATCATCGTCACACAAATCATATTTCATTACATTGCGACCATCCTTGGGTTATTAGCGCGCAGATCATCTAGTCATAAAAGTTGTGACTTCACTGTTACTTGATGATTAACTATTGAATCATCGTATAGAGATTAAACGTACCACACCCTTTTATACACGATAATGTTAATGTTCATATACCCCGTGAAACTTTGTTAATAAATTCGTTTGTGTCTACTTAATCACTTCATTTATGCAAGAGATATTACTTTGCAAACGTATTTATCTAGAGACAATCCAGTAGTGGAATCGGATCGATAAGTCGGTCACCGGTTTTTTGTCGGCTTGGGAATAGGTATGCGAAAAACCATAAAAACACTTTAGATCCCAAGGACATCCGTACATAGAATACGAGATAAGATTATACGAGAGAATGAGCAAAGAATAAATGATATATTAAATATAGGTCCCGCTGTTTTTGTATATAAAATATATACATTATTTAAAATATATATGTTTGATAGAGGGAAAAGAAAAAGCTAGGAAAATAGTAATGTTGAAAAAGGACTAGTTGACTTTGAATAAAAATAAAATTTTCTCCTTTTTTTTGGATGAAACGAGATTTTAAATTTTTTTATTAAACCAACAAAACCGACCGATTTTTTTGCTAATTTTGAGACAATCAATCAATTTTATTTTAAGTCAGTGATGTTAAGGGTCTATAGACTAACGTTAAAAAGAAAAATATTAAAAGACTAATATTAAAACTCGATTAAATATTTTTCCATCTTATTTAAATATTAGTTCGTTATATTTTAAAATAACTAAATATTTTTCTGTCTTATGCGAAAAGCTTTAATATTTTACTATCTCGTTTATCTCATTCGAAACGGTTGAACTGATGTCGCAACTTGAACCAACCAAGAAGGTACCAATATGTGGAACCTGACTTTTGCACCTTATTTAAATATTTTTCTATCTGAATAAAACAATTTAATATTTGTTTAACCTATGCGAAAAGCTTTAATATTTTTCTATGTTACAACAAGAAAAATATTTAAATAGTTTTTAATATTAGTCGTTTAATATTTTTCTTTTAACGTTTTTCGGTATACCCGATGTTAAATGACAACAGTAATGACAAAAAGTTTCGTAATAACTTTAACTACGTCACACTATGAAATTAAAATAAAATTGATTGATTGCTAATTTTGAGTTCGTTTTACTTGAACTTTGAACTTGAACTTGAACTTTATTTCATTTGTAGAAAATAATCTTTCAGAAAATCCTATAGCCAGAGCAAGCACAAAAAGCCAGAGGCTTGTAAAAAAAGTACCACCTGTACAGAAAAGAAGAAAACATCCGTTTGAAGAGCAGTAGAAGACATAAAAAAGCAAAAGCAAAAGAAAACCAAACTACTGTGCTAGAAGTGACGATGTTCAAAGCACGGAATGCTTCCGTCTAAAATTTCAAATCGACGACCGGTAACGCTTCCAATTTTCAATACTCGCTCCATATTTTAGGCGAACATACAAGGAACTGGTCTATTACTAAGAGTTTCTTCCGGTAAATATGTCAAATCACTACTATTTTATCTCATAAAACATTTACTGGCATTTCTGTGCCTGACTCTGACTACTCAGTACACATCGTGTACACTGTAATATGAGTTCGAATGTGTCAATTATATAAATAAATTATATTAATTAAAAGTTTATATGAAAGAATCGTTCAAATGAACAGACAGTTGTTCTCGATCATCGTTCATCATTGATGAATGTATCATGTTAAAAACAAGTCACAGGTAATAGAGCACTTTGAGATAAAAGGAGGCATACGAATGGAACTCCTCTAATTTTTTATCTAGCTCAAGAACTATCAGACATTTACATAAGGTTTTTGCAACGGTCTGTAGAGAAATGTTCGATCTGCCATCATGTTCATTATCAGGTTGTTCCGAACCGACTCAGAACTAGCAAAAATAGGTGACTCTTTTTACTTCAAAGTATTCTAAGAACTGAAGTGAAAGACGTTTTGTTTTTAGATTAAATCACACGTCAAATCAACTTGTAATCAGAGGCAAGCAAAAAAACTGTTCAATTTCTGATCGTTTAAACTGTTTGTATTGTTCAATTTCAATGTTTTTTCATAACACCAATAGACAATTCACTATCATATGATGCGAAACTCTTATAAACGATATTCAGTCTAACGTTAAAGTTGTGTCCTGCCCATTATTATTACTTGGATTCCTTGATGCTATCGTTTCTGGTTTCTGCCATATCTAGTAATTCTGTCGTTCCTGAGCTGCGTCGAAGCATCAAGCCAGACTTAAATTTCTAAGCCAAATTTTCATGTATAACTGATTGAGCTACATGCGTTCCATCTATGAATCATCTTGCAATGTGCAATGGGAACGAGAGATGATGTCATTCAATGAATGATCGATTAACTATTGTGGTATAAAAAAAAGAAAAGAACAGAAATAAAAAAAGGAAAAAATAATTGTTTTTTTTTTAATTTTTAACAAATAATACAATAACCAAAGATAAAGAAGAATGAAAGAACGAAAGTGAGATAGTATTACGTTGCGATATGATAAACAAAGGTCTACGTGTGACTCAAAGACCTTTGTAGTATTTCAAAAAACTGTCGAGTTATACAAGATCGAAAACTAAAACATCTCCTACTAAGGATCTAGCCACTAAACGCTAGGCGTTTTTATAGTCACAACATTCTGTCATCATATTACTGTTAACTTTTCGTGCAATATTTCGATCGATCTTATGAAGCCTATAGATATAACGATAAACTGTTGAATTTGTCATTTTGTTTTATTATCACAGAACAAAACTATATGTGACAATTACTTGAAGAATGTGTGATCTATTAACGACTTATATCGATCTAGTAATGACCAGGTACAAAAACTGTCTACATCTGACTGCAACGTTGTGAAGTAGATGATAATCGTTTTGTACTTTATTATAACTTATCGTAAAATAAATAGAAGTTGTACGGTTTTGAGTTGTTACAAAAACGTGATCAACAATAAAAATCAATAATAATCAATAATACTTCGATATCGAAATTTATTGAAATTGAAGTTGCTAATTATATCGAATGGTGAGAAAATATGATCGAAACCAAATTTTGGCACTACGGCATATCAGACTGCATTTGATACATTAAGTTGCATCAGAATAGATATCCTAATGCTGTCAATTATACTCTTTATGTTTGTGTTGTTTATGCTTGATTATGCTTTCCACGAACTGCATAATGATTCATCAGATTTTTTCACATCTAACCAACCATTATATATATAATGGATCAGCTTATTACAGATTATTACAGCAAGAATTTTCATATTATTCAAGTATTATTTCTAGATCCATCTTAATCTGTGACAAATTGATAGTAATCATATTTCTAACGATGCTTAATTAATTAAAATGAAAACTTTTTAAACAAAATGTATGGACTCTCTGGCTAATATATATATATTCAAAACTTTCAGATGCACTCATTGTTTTTTAAAAACACTTCCTATTGTGTTCTATTTTCCATTTTGATAAAGTGATGATTTTTTTTTGATAAAAAAAAATTGAAACAATCATCAACTGTTCATATGAACATGTATGCACATATAAGTAAGGAAATAAAGATACTGAACTTTGTCATGCATGATCGGTCACCAAACCTGTGTCTTTCTCACAAGTTTAAAATGTTTTGTTAAACAACGTTGTCATCTGCTGTTACAGTCTTACTGTCAATAAAGTATATTACTCATAGTCAAAACATGTGCGTTGAAAAGTATGTTTGACATATTATGGCAGAAGAATAATTAGCTTCAAATCATTCGCTATTTATCTATCTGAATCATTGTTCCTACACTACGTAGATTACCTGTACAAAATAAATAACAGCAAAAATGAATGAAACAGTCGATAGTGTGCGACGTTTTGTGACAGATCAATCATCGTTTGCCGCCGATAAAATGAGTTCAATTTTTGCTTCGTTACGTCGTCGTTTTGGCACCAATGCGGGTATGAATGAGACGGATCAACTTCTATTAGCTATTAACGATGCTAGAAAAATAATTCGAAGCTATCATAACGAAATGAATGCTAATTTACTCACTGTAACATCTTCTTATCATTATTCTATCGATCGTCTTGAAAAATATTTACACATAGCTCAACAACATTATCAGCGTATTTTACTCTATGAACAACAACAAAATACTAATGGGCGTTTAAATCGACGGTCATCCATTAGAGAACATCATTCTAAAATTGAACTAACAGATACGATTAAAGTAACTAACGAACTACGATCGCTCATTGAACAAACATCGAACAATAAAAACACTTATTCGTTCTTTGTAGGTGACGATAATAATATTAACAATTCTTCAAAAGATGGAGAAAAATATCTGAATGCTTATGATACGTTAAACAAAAATCGAAATGTTGTTCGATCAAATCCAACATTGAATGAGGATATAAGTGATAGCAACGGTAAGATACATCGTCAAAAATTCAGAAATTCTATGAGAAATATGCTCAAACGTCAACTAACATCCACAACAAGAAAAGTATCTAAAACAAAAACACCTATTCTAGGTAATGATTCATACAATCATATTTATGAAACTCTTGAATCATCTAGTCCAATTAAAGATGAAACAACTACAGAAATATCTACACCAAAACCACAAGAACCATCACCAAAATGTGTCTATTTGTTACCAAGTTCCTTGGTCGTTCTCGATCATTTTACAACTAATCTCTATCTTGCTGTCAACACATCATTAAACCAAATTTTAGTTGTATTTGGTTCAACAAAAATTCATACTATAAAAACATACAATACAGATGGAAAGAAGACGGGAAATGATTTAATTCTAAATTATAAGTATGAAGATCTTCATGGTTATAAACTTTTATGTTGTGCACTTAATAATAGTAATCAGTATCGTATTATCGTTAATGAAATACGTGTCTACGCCAAATCACCACCACTACCACAAACAACACCAATAACAGCTATTGAAGATTTTCGACAAACGATGAAACAACGTTTATTATTTTTTGACGATGTTGGTCGATATATATGTGTATCAAAACGTATACCTGTTCAAAATGAAATATTTTGTGTTGAAATCGACCGTAACACAACATCAATTTATGTCTATGATGGTGAATTACTTTTATGTTTAGATCGAGGATGGACAGTACCAGTTGAAAATGCTGAGTGCATTGCATGTGGTGCAACATTTTTGGTTTGCTTACACATGAAAACTAATCAAATAAGCGTCTATAATAGTACGAATGGTCAATTTAGTTATCGTTGGATAATATCATCGTCGTCTGTGACACATTTACAGTGTATTCACTTATGTGTATCAAAAAACGATGAAATTTACGTATTAACATGGAATCGTGATGTATCACCATCTAATAATTTGATACTAGTATTTAACGAAGAAGGACATTTACAGCGTGAAATTTGCATACCGAATAAAATAACATTGAATGTACATGGAAAGTATGAGTACACAATGACCATTGGTGGTGGACAACAGTCACACCAAAATCAGTTTTCAACACTAATGAAACGTCAACAAATGAAACTAAAACCAGCCATTCCTCCAGTACAATTAGCCAATTCTGATTCGTCATTGATGTGGATGCAACGACCAACACATTTAGTATGGGGAACGCCTTCTCGCTTTCCATTTGCACCACAACAAAACCCGTGGGCATTTCAAAGACCACCTTTGAATTATTCAAATCCACCACCAGCAGGACTAGGCATTTACGGTGGTTATGATCGAATGATGATGCGTCACCCTCAGTCAGATCACAGTGATCCAACAATATTTAGAGCATGTTTCGTTGCTATCACTGATGATGGTACATTAATTGTGTCTAACATAAGCGATTTGGGCATGGATGAAGACATTAGTCAAGGATCAGAAATTAGATTAAACAGAAAAATTGTCTTTTTTCATTTGGGAACTTGAAAATTATAAATTTCTTTAATATTTAATTCAAGCTTAATAATTGGCAGATTGAAACATGTTGGGACCGTTCTACATATCTTCAATGTCAACAAATCGAGAGATCGCGTTTAGACACGCTTCTCTTGAGTTTTTAAATAAACCATCAAAAAATGTGTTTGTATCATCAAAAATGTTTACATAAGCAGTATTGTACATATTTCAGCAATATACGAAACAATCTTCGATCGTTTTTTTTGATAGTATTAGTAACAGCAATACTCCCAGATGACATCAAAAATTAGTAATGTGTTCTTTTTAGTTTTGAGATATTTGTCTTCACTTCTAAATATAAACTTTCTCGTCATCAGCAAAAATACTCACATACTAGTCTCTTTAAAGTATCAGTTTTCACTTTTAATGTAATATATTTTGCTAGCGTTTAATTCCGCCCATATCGTGATGATGATGAAAGAGCTGATTGCTAAGAAAACTAAATTACTGACTCATATTTGAACTGATTTATACAACGATGCTAATAAGTTTTACATGTTTAATTAAAGAAACGCATTTTCGAGACAAATGTACTTTTTTTTCTAGTGAAAAATAGCCAAAATTGTCTTCAAGACTATTCTGCATAATTAATTCGTTTTTTTTCCGAAAAATGCTGCTCATTATTCTAATTAATTTGGCTACAATGAAACTGATTCAGAACAATCATTGTTTGCTCGTCATACCAATGAACGCCATAAATTATAGACATTATCATTTGAACGGAAAAATATTTATGGTGATCATTTATCAATAATGATCCTCTAATTTTAAATATCATATAAAAAATATATTTGAATACATACAAACTGTTGAATAGTTTGTCGCACAGATGTGTTAAAGTATTTCTATCAAGGACATTAAAAGAACATTTTGAAATTTAATCATCAACACATATTTTTTATTTTTTTACATATTGTGAAATTTGCTCAACAGTTTCGGTTCATCGATGTTTTCTCTTTTTATGACCACACTTTATCTTCGCATAATATGGACATTTGAGAGTGACGAAAAATGAAAAATAAAAAGAGAAGAAAAACAAGATTTATTCGTCTCTTTTGCCAATCAATAAAATATTATTCTTCGTTTAAATTCTCTTCAGTCTGTTCAAACTAGTTACGGCACATATCTGTACGATTTATAGGAATATCAACATGATGAACATACTAATCTTAGCAATGATGATTGTAACAGTGTATTCAAAGGTTTTACCAAATAATTTCATGTAAGTAGTCGATTTATATTCTCGTATCGTTCATTTTTGAGTAGAAAATTTTGTTCAATAATGTACAATACAACAATCTGATGTATTGTGTAAAGATCAAGGATTTTCTGATAAAAATGTTTGACAAAATATCAGAAAAAATATTTAGATGTGTCTTTGTCTTTAGGCTAATTGGTGTAACAACTAAATATTCAAATATATCATCTCAAACGAATTGTCTGATGTTAATGACTGTAATTGGCGGAAATAGCAATTATTTATGTTCAAAAATTCCTCAATTACCAATGATAATTCAACAATCAAATATTGAAGCTCAAACTCAGTGTCAAAAATTGTTTCGAACCAGTAAATGGGGCTGTTATCTATCTCGAAATGCCACGGCACTTAGCCGATTTCTTAGACAAGGTAGGAGAAGAAAATTAAAGAATTTATTTTTCACTTCTTCCATATTGCCTCCTGAGTCTAATAAAAAAGAAACCGAAACTTGTTTGTATTATACAACAATTGTCTAAACATCTTTTAGTCATAAAACATGCACACTATAAATAATTCAACACCTTTTCTTTTTTATTTATTATATTGTACAGTGTCAAACTCTCTATTCTTGATCTTGTAGCATCTATAATATATTTATAGGATCAAAAGAATCAGCATTTTTTACGGCAATATCAAGTTCAATATTGTCACTGAATTTAATTAAACAATGTTTGAAAGGTCAAATTAATGATCAAAATTGTCAATGTGGTATTTCTCGTAATAATAATCTTGCTCAACCAGTTTCGTTTCGTCCAATTAATTCTGATTGTCCATCAAGTGTTAATTATGGAATTAAACTTTCACAACTTATTACCAATGGATTTAATATGCCAGAACGATCTCAACACAAACTATTATATAAAATTAATCAATGGAACAGAGAAATTGGAAAAAATGTAAGAGAATTTTTAAAATTAATCCTGTATGTTTAATATATATACAGCATGGCCAGCTAACTCTGCTATGGTAAAGGAATTCCATAACGTTTTTTCAGCATTTTGTTTTGTTTATAAATCGTAAATCAAACGACGTAGACAGCTGCAATACGTCTTAAATTGAAAAAAAGACTACTGTGAACATTTAAACGCGTCTCAGCTGAACTGAACTGAACTGAATTTTTATTTTTGCAAGCATGGTTGTTGCAAAGAAAGGCTGGCTTATGCTAATGCAACACCGAAAAAAGTGAAGAAATAAAGAAATACTAAAAGAACAAGTAACAGATAAATTATAAAAGTTGAAGATGCTGCTTCAAAAGACCCTTATAGATTCTGTGACTAGTTTGATTCACAACAGTGCATGGTAGTGCATTCCAGTCGTCAGAGGTACGGGGAAAAAATGACCCCGAAGCAGACTTTAGGGAATAGTAAGGTTTTTGAATTTGTTTATCATGCGTTATTCTAGACGACCGTCGATTTGTTGGCGGAGTAATTAG